ATAATGAGAATCATCTCTAACACTTGTGTGATATTAATTTTGTTTTTTGTATTAAGTTTGATGGGATGTTAAGTGATTTATAATATTCAATCTCATGTTAGGGACTTAGGGTACTCAGAATATCTACAATAATATATATATTTAGATACTTGAATCCATATTTGTGAGATTATTTTTTTAAATAAATATAATAAAATTTTTAAATCAAAATAAATATTAACTCGCAATTTGGTTGCGAGTCTCCATCCTCTCCTCTCTTTTTGTCTCTCCACTCCTTTTCTTTCTTGTTTGTTACTGTTGCATTTTCTGTTCTTGGAAGATAGCAACGCTACTGCTACTGCACCATCACATGCAATGCCACCGGGGCTTAGTACGTACTGCAATAAACCATACTCATCTCTAGCATCATCATTTCCATTCTAAATCTCAAAACCATCAACATAGCAACATCCTTTTCTTAAATTAAACTCCATTATCATAATCATCAATTGTCGTAGTTTTCGCCATATTTCTAATTATAGTGATGCTCCGTAGACTTAAATATTTCAGAAAGCATGGCAGTTGCAAAGAAAGTAGTGGCATCAACAACACAAACGGCAGGTTCATTGCTCATACTACTATAGACTTCAATTCTAGTCCTGGTAAGTATCCATTTTCAAAACTCAAGTAATTTTAATAAATTTAACTTCCATGGTAAGTATCCATTATCATCTCATTTTTCTTTAGAAAATTGAATATTGTTTCTTTGGCTGTCATCTCATTTCAAATTTGAATAAAGAAACATACCTTTAAGGCGATTTAGTATTTTGAAATGGATTATATGATGGTTTGGACTCAAACCTGACATTTGTAACATCATTCAGCTGATCTTTGTCGTTGTCTTATTTATTTGATTATTGTGTTTCTGGAATTTATACAAAATCTGATATTGGGATGGCTGAAAATGGAGCAGATGTGAAGGCAAGGTGTCTAAGTGGAGGGAGCATCCGTGCACCTCCAAGTAGATATAGAGGGGTCCAAGTTTTCACTTACAGGGAGCTGGAATTGGCAACTGATAACTTCAGTGAGTTAAATGTGATAGGCAATGGAGCTTTTGGTGTGGTGTATAAAGGAGTCCTTGCTGATGGTACTGTGACAGCAATTAAGAGGCTTCACAGAGATGGAAAGCAATGGGAGCGTGCTTTCAGGATGGAGGTGAATTACTTCATTTATTAGCTTTTGTCACCAACTTGTTTTCTCTCATTGATATTCATATCTTTCTTTAATGTCCTCAAACTTATGAATTCTATTCAATCTTGCACATGGGGTTGAAATGTAGTATCACGTTTTATTCTGCAGGTGGATCTGTTAAGCCGCTTGAGCTCTCCTTACTTGGTGGAGCTATTAGGCTACTGTGCTGACCAGCACCATAGGCTTCTAATATTTGAATTCATGCCCAATGGTACTCTCCATCAGCATCTTCATCATCCCAGCAGTCAACATAGGGTGTTGGATTGGGGAACCCGGTTAAGGGTAGCCCTTGATTGTGCTAGAGCCCTTGAGTTCCTCCATGAGCATGCTATCCCTACTGTTATCCACCGTGACTTTAAGTGCACCAATGTATTACTAGATGAAAACTTCAGAGCCAAGGTGTCTGATTTTGGATTGGCCAAAATGGGATCGGACAAGATCAACTCTCAGATTTCGACACGCGTGTTGGGAACCACTGGATTTCTAGCTCCAGAGTGAGTTCTCCATCATATGTCATGCTCATGCATCTCTACTTCATTATCAGATTATCACTGCCATACCGATGAATATGCAATATTATGCACAAACTTGCACTTGGGGCATTTACCAAGGTCCTTATTAGGCTGCTGTCATTTTCCCATTTAATAAACATTACATGCCTTTCCAGTAACAAAATTCAAAAAATCTTAATAGACAACAATAGTTGAGTCTAGTGAAAAATGTAAAGCATTGGCAAGAATGAGTAAGCTGTTTTCTGAATTTTTCTTTGTCCTTGAATTTTGGTACTGCAGATATGCTTCAACAGGAAAACTTACCACAAAATCAGATGTCTTCAGCTATGGTGTGGTGCTTTTACAGCTTTTAACAGGCCGTGTCCCAGTTGATATCAAGAGGCCTCCTGGAGAACATGTCCTTGTTTCATGGGTTAGTGGCCAAAAGCCATTTTTCTCTTTCCTAGATGCCAGCAATAAGCTATACAAGTACTAGCTTGGAGATTGTTAAATGATGTTCCAACTTTTGATACTTTAACAGGCACTTCCAAGGCTAACTAACAGAGATAAAGTAGAAGAAATGGTTGATCCAGCTATACAAGGACAATATTCAAAGAAGGATCTAATTCAGGTGAAGTTTGCTTCTATGATATTAGTTTTGTGCTTGACACATATCAATATATCATCAGCTGGTGACTAAACTTATATTTATCTCCCCATATTTGCTCCACAGGTAGCTGCTATTGCTGCTATGTGTGTGCAACCAGAAGCCAATTATCGACCTTTAATGGTAGATGTTGTACAGTCACTGGTCCCTTTAGTTAAAAATTTCAATTCCATAAGTTCCTCTGGTTCCTCTAGATTTCATCGTCAAACCTCCAGCTCCAAGTACTAGTAATACATTTGAGAATTGCAGATCCAAGTATTTCCTTTCCTGCCCTTCTGATTGCATAAAAAAAAAAATCAACCTTGTTACAATGTACAAAGCAGCGTTACCAACTGCGGTTGCTTCCATGCATAAAAAGTAGAAGCATTTCAGACAACAGCTGATGCTTGTGCAATCAAATCAGAAGGCAATGATGGGCTCATATCTGGCATATAACTGTGATTTTGGCTTCAGCCACAGACAAGCTTCTTTCCAATCATATTCTTCTATAAATTTGTTGCCAAAGGATAAATAAATGCAACATTATTTTTCTCTTTTCAGAAATCAAAAGTTTGTCTTGGAAATTAGTGATGCTTTTCTTCTGTTATGGAAAACATTTGTTAGTGCAATAGTATATGATTTCTTAGGAAGCAAGTAAATGTGACCTGGACCTTTATTGTACTCAAACAATGCATGGTGCAATGGCAAGGAACTCAGTGAGTTGTGACCCTGACCTCAAAATCAAACTCGCTTGAATATTATTAAAAGATAAAAAGAATTGAAAGAAAAAAAAAATACAGCATAATACTAGGTTCATCAATGCCTTCTTGGCTCCACATAAAAACCAGAATCTTAGACCAGTACAATTTGTCTGATGCATTGTAACTACTTGTAGGTTTCTTTTCCTAGATATGTAGGCCAGAGAGAGTAACTTCTTCTGATCCTAGATGTGTCCAATGAAAGGATTAGGATCATGAATTTCTATCTTCCTTTATGAAAGGAGAAATCCAAGGAAAAAGGAAAAATATTAGGTTGACAGGACTAGAACTTAACAGTTCTTATAAATAAAGTGAGAATTAAAGGTGATATCGGTTTAAATCGAATTTAATTTAATTTTTTGAATGATGGATAGAATTATAAATTTTTAAAATTTTATTTTAATTTAAATTAATTTTTTTTATAATCTAGATTGATTTAAATCAAATTTTATTGATTTAGTTTAATTTGATTTATTGGTTTTTTATATTTAATTTTTTAAAATTTTTATATAGTATTTTAATATAATTTTAAATATTTAAATAAATTTAAATATAAAATAATTAATATTTCATAAGAATTTAAAATATAAAAAAATTAATAAAAAAATAATTTGATTTTTTCGATTTTCACTTTTTAATTCAAATCGAACTTAATATATATATATTTTTTTAATATTTGAATTTAAATCGAATCTAAGTAAAAAAGAATATTTATATTGAATCAAACAATAAGATTTTGAATTAATTTTTTATTTTTTCGATTTTTTTTCTCAGTGAGAATGTCAGCTTGGAAAAGAGAATATTGCTATCTATCAGCCACTGTGAAGCCAGTGGAGAAACCAGTAAAGTGGGAATCTAGACGGCCCAGAAGACTCGTAGGGAAGAGACAAAACGATGGTTAGTGGAGGATTGCAGATTGCTGAAGATAGGGACCAATTATTGATGTTTGAATGTAGTGCTGGTGAATCAAGCCAGTCTTCTGTTCGAAAAGCACAAGACCTGAGACAGCAAAAAGGACTGTGCCAAAACATACAGTATTTTGATGGAGAAATTTAGTTTACAAGCCACGAAAATACAACAAAGTGTCCCACAGTAATTTACCATTTTCCTGATTCTGAAATCTTGGGTTTTGTTTTAGCCTGTCTCAACGATGGTAAATCTGGGACATGGCAAGAAAACCTTAGAACAGTAGCATTTACTCTCCCATACAAAAAGATCAGAGTGAATCAGTTAAACATTATTTGACAGCCACTAGCCAACACCAAGTTGTTGGGGAATAGTTCTATGGAGAATTTTCTCTTTCTATGCTTCTTTCCATGTTTAACATTTCATACATCATGTTGGTTAGAAAAAAAATAAAAAAATCCGAAAAATGATTCGAAATTATAATATTTAATTTGATTCAGTTTAATTTTTTTTATTTGGTTCAGATCAAATTTAAATATTAAATATATATATATATTAAATTTAAATCAAATTTTGAATCAAAAGATAAAAAAAAAATAAAATTATATCGAACCAAATTATATATCTTAATTTTATATATATTTTTAAATTTTTTAAAATAAAAATAATAATTTATATCAATATAATCTTAAATATGTTAAAATTTTATATTAAAATAATATATAAAACTTTTTTTAAAAAATTAAATACCAATAAAATTCAATCTAGACCAAATGAATTTAATTCGAATTTTAATCAAATTTTAAAATTTCATAATATTATATAATATCTGAAAAAAATTAAATCAAATATCACTTGAATGGTATAGACTGATCCAATATTGGCCCGGAAGGATGAAACAGATAGCTTAGGGCATGAACATTAATGTCTGAAAGCAAGGTGTGGAGAATGACAAAGAACAAAGGAACAAGATATTAAGTAGCACACGTATATATGTTGCATGTGCTACATAAAGAATAAATACAAGGGGGAATTATCACTGCATTTCATTCTGTAGCTTTCTAAACTTCCTGTATTACTTATAGAACAAGATTGACAGACTAAAATTACATCCTGTTTCAAAGCAATACATACGTGCTAGAACATTACGCTCTTGACTACATGAATCTCTAACCTCTGCTAAAAGATCGCCGAGAATTCAGAATTCCATGTGCAATTTAAACTTCAACTTCTTCAGATCCTGTGTGCACTGCTTATCTGGTTGTATAAGTTCAACAAATCATCAAGCATTTGCATCTCACCAGGATTGCATGTTGGAGATCGATTGAAGTAGCAAAACTAGATCAAGTTTAAACCCCTTCCTTCGAATTCTTAGTAGCAGCTTCGGATGCCACAGTAGCACTGGTTCCTCCTCCCTTACTACCCTCTGATTTATTGTTCTTTTTACTAATTTTACCAGAATACTTGGCAAAAGCAGCAGTCAGAGCTGATTTAACGTTCATTTCAGGTTCTTTTTTCCTACGCTTGCTAGTATTTTCAGTATCATTTTCAGCTTCTATGACTTCACTTGCTGAGCAAGGTTCAGCATCATTGCAGACCGGAGTTTCTGGAACATGAGGGTTGCTGGAAACTACACGCTTGAATGGTTCATGAAAAGCATCATACAAGCGTTTTACCTGATCCATCAAGAATCCAACAACAATATTAAACAGAGATGTTAAACGGAAATTAAAGGCTTATAATCTTGTATGCAATAATTTGGGTCAACAAATAGTACAACAAACACCTATAAAATGGCTTGTTGAAAATATAAAAATAAAAAGTATTTTTACCTTCCGCTCTCCTATTCCCGGACATCGAGCAAGATCTTCCATGGATGCATCCATGATACTAGACAGAGACTGCCAAAACATGATAACTAGGTCAGATAAACCAACAAATAAAACACTGACATTTTAGGTGTAAAACAGCTTACGCACCCCAAATGTAGAACCAAGTGTGACCACATCAGTCTTGTTAACATGTCGAATAGTTGTAAGAGCATGATTTAGCTATAATCACAAGAAAACTAGTCTCAGCTCAATCACACCAAATAGAACGGAAATAAAATTGCACATCACATTTGGATTTCGTAAGTTAGTCTATAAAAGAACCATAATGGTCTGTGTGACATAGTAAGTACATTTATTCATAGACTGAAGCTTTGAAAGAGATACAAAATGATACCCTTGATAGGTAGTCTGTATCCATTTGGCCTTGGATGAGGTCTGCAGGTTTGTTTTCATATACTTTTATGGTCTCCAAGTAGCGACCACATTCCTCCAAGCTACAGCAAATAATAGCAAGCTTTATCAAGAAAACCATATTGAGGCAACTATCTTATCCATCATTTCCAACTAAATCATCTATAGCACTATTCCAACTCAATAGAAAAAAAAATGCAAAGCTAGAATCTAAAAAAAAGGGTAAAGAAAGCACAGCAACTTATCTTTTGACATAAACATTACAGAATAGATATGATTTAACAAGGTCAGAACTTAGAATGATTGGAAGACTGTAACAAATGGAAGCAGTCGCAGATTGCCATATAGATTCATAAAGAACATTTAGCATTTATTATTTAATACATCAAACAATCTTCACCTTACCTCCAACCACATAATAAAGTACAATCATGAAGCAGAGCTGTTTTAGTAACTTCAAGCAAAGGCTTAACAACATCCTCCTGCAATAAAAGAGAACTCAGAACAATGAGCAACCAGTTTCCGTTTTTTGTTTGTTTGGGTGAGAAAGAAAGGGGCAAGTAACGATGAGTAATTGTTCCTTTGTCACACAAAGCCAGAAAGGAATTAACTGCTGTATTTATAATGTCAGCATGCACCCAAGCTTTGTTTGAAATCTTAAATCATAGGAAGCAATTAGAAAGGCATAAAAATGTTGTCATAATGAAGGGAGTTTTACCACATCAACATGGCATAACACAACACGAAGCTTGAAGTTTTTCTGCAGTTCCCTGATGCGGTAATATAGGTAGTCTGGGTGCAGCAAATGATATCGAAGACTGCATCAATAGTCAACTCAATGAAATGGAAGTGTAAGAGCACATTGGCCATGAAACAAAAGACCAAAAATACCCTTCACTAGAAAACAAAAAAATTACCTTTGTCCCTTAAAACCTATAGTTTATTAAATATACCAAGAACTTGGAAGAGTATGTAGGAGGCACATAAATAAGCATGAAATGTTAAAAATTCAAATAAATAACCATTTCTTGTTGAACTCACGCAAACTGTTATATTGAGCTATTAAGCCTTATGATAGTAGTCTAACCTTAAATAGAGAGCACATGAGTTTTGACCGAGCAAGTAGTCACAAATAATATCTGCAAAAGCCCATCTCACATTCCTGATATGTTTGAGCAAGGGATTACCCTTCTGCATGAGGTGAAAGTACATCTATATTTAGGCTACTTCAGAAAAGTTAGATGAAAGGAATCAAAGTTATATCTGTTAAAGACTAACTATCTCAGTCCAAAAAACAGATTTTGGGTGAAGCTAGATTCTTCCTTAGGAGGTTTGGGATTATAGGTTTCTCTGTACTACAGTTCAGGACAGTCTTAGCAGTTCACATATCTTCGAAGTCGATAATGAATTGAAAACTTTCAAAAAAGAACATGAAGATATATTAAAATTTAAAATGAATCAAAAGTGCATGACAATAACAAAACCGAAGAGACAGTACATGACATCTAAAATTTCAAGACCACATGCCACCCTTTACATTTCCCTGAATCAAAGCAGGCTAAACTACTACGCCATATTGCCTAGCAAAGGTTGTCACAATATAAAAAGGGGATGTCTGATAATTTCCTCATGAAAAACTTAGAAAAAAAAAGATTAGTAAAAACAATGTAACTATTAATGCCGCCAAAATTAAAGAGCATCACCTGTCTATGGCTGACAAGGATAGCATTGCGATTCTGAGCAGAATTTGATGATGATGAAGCAACAGCAGCAGCAGGTGAAGCTGAGGTAGAAGCAGCTGAAGAAGAAGAAGAAGGCACATTGGCCTCACCAATTGGCCTACAAAGTTACAAACAAAAATTACAAGGTATTTCAATTCAGAGAATAATCTTTTATGAACTCCATTTCCTGATCATGACAAACTCAACAAGCTAAATCAAAAGTGGAAAAATTGAAGCTTTGATCAAAAGGGTTCAACCAAAATAAAAGAAAAAAGAAACCCACAAAAAATACAGCCAATTTCGATAGAAAGAACAAAACTTTATAGTCAAACACAACAAAACCACATCAAAACTGAAAAAGAAAAGCGAATGAAACTTGGGTTTCAGTTAAAATCAACAAAAAATCAATTACCTTGGGGTTGAAACAGTGGAGGTGGTGGCCGGAGGAGGTTGGGGAGGTGGAGAGTAAAACTCAGAGGATTTAATAAAACTGAAGGCTTGAGAAAAAGAATGAGAAGGAGTGAAAAGGGAAGGTGGGGTTGATTTCATTTGTGAGCTTTCTATTACTTCTTTGTATGATGGAATTCCTATTACTATTGGTGTTTTTTTCTTGCTTTGGTTTTGTTCCGCTTGGTTTTCTCTTTCTTCCTCCATTTTCTTCTTCTTCTTCTGCCTCTTTCCCCCGTTGAATTTTGATTGATGAATGAAGTGAAAAATAAAACCAGAGTTCTTTCTGTTTATGAAAATGGGTTATGATTTTCGTTTAGCCCTAATAGAAAGAGCCCATGTATCCAACCAGTTTAAGGTTTCTAGACCGAAGAAAAAAGTCTCATTAACCAAACATTCAGTAGAATATGGGTATTAGGCCTAAGTCTAATTTGCCTGTAAATCAATGACCCAAATATTTTATTTGGGATAATCCGATATATTTGTGATCTATCATTTAATTAATAAATTTTAAAATATTATTTAATATTATTTATTAAATTTAATAAATAAATATTAATTGAGCATGGTCACAAATTGTTCATTACATATTATCTTCGTTTACACTTTGAAGTGATAAACGAACTGCACATAAATAAATAGGATAATACCTCATTTAATCTTTAAATTATTATAATTTTTTTAATATAGTATCTAAATTAAAAAAATTTTAATCAAATCTAAACTTTAATTTCGTATATTAAATTGCTACAACTCTTAATACTTTTAGAATAACACTGACATGATATTTTAATACTAACGTGAATGATATATGGCTACTATATGACAATGATGTGGCCATTACATGTTATTTTTAAAGAATTAAAAAATAAAAAAAATTATTTTAAAATTTTTTTATTTTTAAAAATATTATATGATAATCATATTTTAAATCGCATGACAATCACATATTATTTATGTCAATATTTAAATATCAAATAAGTATTATTCTAACGATGTTAAAGGATTGCAGTAATTTAATATACGAAAATTAAGTTTAAATACTTAATTAAAATTTTATTTTGTTTAAGTTTCATATTAAAAAAAATACAATAATTCAAGGATAGAATAAAATATTATCCTTAAATAAATTTTTATATTCGTAATTTATTTATTTAATTAATACATTTCAAATATTATTATTGATTGTATATTTAAGAACTATTTGTCGATTGTTTTATTCGTCTACATTTCTATTTAACGAGATAACAATAGCATGTGATTAGATCGTATTTTAGAACAGGGTTTCAGACGAAGGCTTGAGAGTTGAGATCTAAGAATAGTATTATAAAATATGGCTGGATTTCGTAGCTTTTTCATGCTTTGAAAGATGCTGAAAGAGATAAAGACTTTTAAATTTTTAAAATCCTAAATTTTAAATTCTAAATCTCTTTTATAATTCAAAAGGAGACAAATGGTTACAATATAAAATTAGATCTAATAATTTAAAATATGATATAATAATACGATATAAATATGATATAAAAATAATATAAATAAATATTATAATTTAAAATTATAACAATAATTATATAATTTAATAAAATAAAAATTTATATTTTATATTTTTATATCAATATAATTTATAATACGTAATTTTAATATAAAATATAATATAAATATATAAATTTTAATTTTTTACAAAATAATCAAATTTATTCAAACTCGACATAACTCTCACTTTCAAGGGAGACTCGTCGGGGAGGAAATGAAGGTTACAACATTCCAAAATACCAACAGTAACTGCCTTACTCCGAATGCTACCTTTATTGCATGAAGTTCATGTACGCAAGCTGTTCTTCAATGAGATCAGAATTTTTCTACCGAGTTGTCGTGTCAAAGCAAGTGAAAGACTTTAAAGTTTGGAATGTATAGATGCCTTACACACTAGCAAGTTTATTACAACTTTTGTAAGTTAATGGATTTTCCAAGAAAATCTAATTTTTTTCAATTACGAAAGCAATCTTTTTTAATGATATGAAAATTCGTATTCAATTTATTAAATATTATCTATTTTAATTTAAAATTTTTATAATTTTATTTTATAAAAGCATTTTATAAGTTTAAATTTAAAATTCTACTTAAGCTTCATTTGTTTTGCAAAAAAAAAATTTTGTAAAATAATTTTTGAAAAATATTTATATTTTTTGCATTGAAAGAAAGTTTTTATTATTTGAATGAGTTAAAAAATATATTTTTCGTTGTTTTATTGCTTTTTGAAAAATCTATTTTTTAAATAATATTAATATAACTATTAAAATATTAAAAAGTATTTATTATTAAAATATATTGAAATTATTTATTATTAAAATTATTAATATTAAAAATAATTATATTTTAATAATAATATTTAATAATTAAAAATATTAAATTAATATAAAAATACTTAAAATAAAACTACTTATTATTCTTTATATTATTTATTAATATATTATAGTATTATTTATTAATAATATTTAATTAATTATAATTATTATATATTTATTATATAATATTATTTATTAATATATCTAATATTATTTCTTAATATTATTTTTTAATATATTATATTGATTATATATTTTTATTCATATAATATTATTTATAAATAAAATTATGCACAGAAGTATTAATAAATAGTTTTTTTTTCAAAAAATATCTTTCCTTTTCAAATTCATAAGATAATTTTTAAAAATATGACTTTATTTCTTATTGATCAATTAGTTTTTTGTCAAACAAATATCTGAAAATATAAAAATTAAATTTTAAAAATTACTTTTTAAAAGTCATTTTTCGCTAAATAAATGAAACTTTATATATTATAATAGATTTTTAAAATCTTTTAATATGAAATCGGAGTTTAATATTTTATTTTTAAAATATCTATTTATAATATATATAAAAATTATTCATAAATTTATCAATTTTATAAAAAAAATGATATAAAAAAATTGGAGTATTTAAGTAAAAAATTTTCTTCCTATTTTCATTTTTTTAATCTTTAAAAGTGTCCTATTTTCATTTTTTTTAACATGTGGATTGGTCAATATTTTTGTCAACAAGTACTGTCTAGAATTCAAAATTCAAGAATTGCCAGCAACAATTATTCACCACTATTTCCATTCTTTTGATTCTTATCCAATTCTAAAGTCATCAACTGCAATCCCATTGGTAATTTTAATGGAGATCTCTATCAGAACCTTTGCCTGCAATTAAAATTTGACTATTGCTCCCTTTGCTGTTTCAGGAATTTGAAGGAAATTTTCAAAACACATTAAAGAAATAAGGTGACTGTCACAAACAGGTCAGTCCTTTGATCATTCAAATCAGATACATCACCAAAGAAAAATCCATACAAGAAAATACTTATCTTAAACATCTTGCTTTCTTTTTCTGTCATATTCACAACTATTTAACACCTGACCATTTCACTACCTTAATTAGACTAAAATACAAAATCATAAAAATCAATATCATTTTCAAGTCAAACCCAAAGCTTAATTCATTTAATTTATATAATCATTTTTAAAATATAATATTTAATAAATTTCAAATTTATATCTTAACATTTATAATTTTATAATTCCTTTTGTATTAAAAAAATTGTTCTCGTCATGAAAATCCATCTAATTTTCAAGATGAATTCATAACTTAATAATTCAATTAATTTTATATAACTATTTTTCAAAATGTGATATTTAATAAATTTAAAATTTACATCTTATGATTTCTTTTGTATTAAAAAAAAGTGTTATAGTTGATAAAAAAAAATCCAATGATCTAATTTAATGTTGAGAATATTAACTCAAATCTCATAAGAAATTTGTTTGAGATTGTTTGATGTACAAGAAAACTTACAAAAAAAATTTTTTAAGACAAATGAGATTCTTAATAGGTAAGTTTAACTTGCAAGAGAAGAATTCTAAGAGAAAATATATTCTTAATAGATAAGTTTGACTTATAAGAGAAGAATTCTAAGAGAAATGAAATTTTTAATAGGTAAGTTTGTATGATTATAAGTATGTGAAGTCTCTACAGGGTTATGTATGAGAAAAATATGTAAGAGAATTGTAGGGTTTTATGGGATAGACACCTCATAAGAGTATTGAGACTCTACGTCTTATGAGTGTGTATGTTTGTTTAGGTGTGTATTTTGTGAGTGGACTAGAGGAGACTGAGAGGGTCCACATAGGTATGATGTAAAAGAGCATATGTGTATATGTTTGGTTATGTTGAAAGGGTGCACAAGGGTTTGAGTTTGTGTTTGTTTGGATTGAGAATACTCTATAAGACTAGAGGATATTAAGAGTGTCTTATGAGTATTGATTATTACGTGAGGTTGATAATTTAATGTATGTTTGTAATTTTTTACAACTAGTGAATTTTGTTTCTCATCCGTAAACGTAGGTTAATTGAACCGAATCACGTTAAATTATTGTCTCTTATGTGATTGATTTATTGTTTGATTTTACTTCCGTTGATGTGATTAAATTATAAGCTTTTAACACAACATTTAAGAACTAACCTTACAAATTTAATAAGTAATCCAATATCGATTAATCATTCTTAAGACTTTGTTTCTTTCACAATTTTTTTTTTTTCATTACATAAAAGATAGGAGATGGTAAAGTTTGAATTCACATTTTGTACGTCTTTCAAAATATTTTTAGCCACTAAACTAATACACTAACATTTCCACTTGGAGCTAGATAATAAAATAAAAATTATTTTACACCCTTATGAATACAAACTTAGGAAAATATCATTTTCCAATTCGGGTCTACCATGATTGTGATTTTCCTAATAAAAATGGTCAAATCTAATCGAAATTTGAAAATTTATTTAGTTTAATTTAAGATTGAATTTATAACTATTTAATATCTGACCATTTCACTATCTTGATTAGATTAAAATACAAAATCATGAAAATCAATCTAACTTTTAAGATAAATTCAAATTTTAATTTAATTAATTTATATAATTATTTTAAAAATATAATATTTAATAAATTTAAAATTTACATCTTAATACTTATAATTTTATGATCTCCTTCTATATTAAAAAAAAATGATCTCATTGATAAAAAAAATATAACTTCCAATGATCCAATTAAAGAGCTGGTTATACAAATTTAATAAGGAATTCCACTTCGGCTAATTATTTTTAAGACTTTGTCTCCTTCACAACATTTCCATTTTTTGAGCTAGCATTATCAAGACCTAATAATAAAACAAAAAATTGTTATTAAAGGGTTGATTCAATTGGCAATAAATTATTTATATTTATGTAGAATTCTTGGATTTAGATTCAATCGATGATATTTTATTGAAGTTTTTCGAATGAATAATTTTAATTATTATTTTTAAGTTATTAGATATGATATATTTTATTTTAAAAAATTTTATAATTGTTTTAATAATAAAACAAAAAAAAAATTGCACCCTTATGAATACGAACTTTTGAAAAGATCATTCTCCAATTGACTTGATGTATCATGGTTGTGATTTTCCTAATAAAAATGGTAAATTTTGATCAAATTTGAAATTTTGTTCAGTTCAATTTAAGATTGAATTTGATTTCATTCTGAATTGAATAAAAAGGATTGAAAACCCGAATTTTAAGATTCTAGCACACATTGGCCTCAAGACCAAATTAAAATCAAGAAACCAAATGTTAATAGGAAAAAAACGTTTCTTTGATTACATATTTACAAAAATGCCTTAGCTTTTATGATCCCACATCGGTTCAATCATAAAATCGGAAGCCTAGATCGAAAATTTGGTTAAATTGTTGAAAAAAAAAAAAATTCAAGAGCCACTAAACCGGAAGGCGGCTTGAGTCACCCACCGGTCCAACCGGCAAACTTGATGAGGTCCCTTCACCATCATTTGCCGCCACCTTTGGTGACTTCATGGAAGATGCTCTACTAAAAAATGACCGTGTCATACTAAACACCCACCGGTCGGACTTAACTCTCCGGTCCGACTTCTCGAGCTGCCCAAGGGACTTCCCTCTATTGCTCCCCCCATCTTCCTCGGCTCGGTATCCCCTTCGTGAACTCCTTTCTCTAGGCAATATCACCAAGCTTGTTGCTCGGTTCAATTTCCGGTTCATTAACTGCTTCCGAACCTCATCTGGTAACCGCAAAGTGAAACGGTCCGTGTTCTCACCTGGCTGGACCAAAGAATGTCCCGTTGATTGAGACCGTGTGAAAGAGAGTTTGCGTGTACGGTTAGATCTTGATCCACGTGTACGATTCCTATTTAAAGTTCGATTCAAATCAATTACATCAACCGCCGGACCATCGCGAGCGTCCACGTCACAGTTAACATTATTATTGTTTCTTCTTTCTTCTTGACTTTCCGAGTCAACGCCGTTGTTCTGACCCTCTACGTCCAACTCGGTGGCGTTGTTATTGAACTCAGTGAGTTGACTCACAGGATCACCTGGTTGAGGAGTGAGATTAGCTCTACAAACGGGGCAAGTAGTATGAGAAGCCAACCAAATGTCGATACATTCAGGGTGAAAAACGTGGTCGCATTTGGGTATTAAACGCAGCGTTTCGTCGTCTTGAAATTCATTTAAACAAACCGCGCACTCCAGAGCTCCATTGCCGATCTTATGAACCTTAACTTCGGAGTAAACCATGGTGGGGAAAGTCTCGATCACCGACGCCTCGAGTCCACGGGTCCCACGACTCGAAAGGATGAATCCGCCGGTGAAAGGGATGACGCTGCTTCCATTGGAGTTGACTGAGGAGCAGCTCCGAATGTAAATTGCGAAAATACCCATAAAGAACAAAGCAGCTATCAAAACGACAACGATTATGGCCATGGAAGGGCTAAAACGCATGGAAGGGTAAAGCTCGTCGTTTGGGTCGGTGGGTTGGGCGGCGGAAGGAGGCGGAGAGAGGAGGAGCAAGAAGAAGACAAGAAGAGACATGATTCCATGCTTGGCGGCGTACGACATGGCGAGAGAAGGACCATTTGGAGGGATGAGAGAGCGAAGGAAGTGGGGGTGGGTTAAAAGAGAGAGGAAGGAGAAAGGAAGAAACTGAGAGTGGGGTCCATAGTTGGAGTTTATTTCCTTGGAATTTCGTAATTCAGACATGTGATTGGGTGTCAGTCATTCCGTCGGAAAATACTGAAGGAAGGTTCCAAAAAAAATGGTGACTCGTAAAAATTTGTGACGTAAGAAATGACATTTGCATATTTAGGACCGTCACTCATGTCGTCTTGGCTCCGATCGAAGCTTCTACACGGTCCAAAGAATGAAATTGTGGAAGTCTCATGAAACCAGATTTTAATATTTATCAACGGGATGATGGATAAGACCGAATTTAATTTAAAATTTTTTAATAATGTATAAAATAATTAATTTTTAAAATTTAAGTTATATTCAAATCAATTTTCATACCATTTAATTTAATTTAAATTAAATTTTATTAATTCGATTAGATTTATTAAATTTTAAAATTTTATTTTTAATATATTTAAATAAATTTATATAAAAATAATTATTTTTATTTTATAAAAATTTAAAATATATATAATTTGATTTAATTTTTTTAATTTTTAATTTTTTAATTTAAAATTTGATGTAATTTTAATTTATATTTAATATTTAAATTTAATCCAAATAGAATAAAACAAATGAATTGAGCACTTAAATTTTAATTCAATTTTTTATTTTTTCATTTTTTTTTCACTTTCAATCATTCGTATCTAATATTTGAATTTTATTCGTAATTTAAAAATTATTTTTTCATGTGCAATCTTTTATTGTTCTAAATTCATCTATATGTCCATAATATTCTACTAAAGTTTAAATTGCATAAAATTTATTAAATTTTAATTATATTTTGATGAATGGATGAATTAAAAATAAATTTAATAGTTATGAAAAAAAATCAAAATTTTTTACAAATCATTGACTAATGATAATTGTACTAAAAAATTATGATGTTATATATAAAATTAAAAAAAAAACCCTTATCCGTAGCAATTGATCTACTAATAATTTAATAGTTATTGTACCAAGTGAAACAAATTATTACATGTCTTACAAGGTTTACTTAAAAAATTATTTTTTAAAAAGATTTAACATGTAATGAAAATTTTTATTGTAAATTTTTATAAGACTATAATTGAATCGAATTAAGTTGATATAATGAAAATTTCAAATTTAAGCTATTCAAATTCAAAATTTAGTTTAAAATCGATCAAGCTATAAATTTCAAATTCAAATTTGACTTAAACTAAAAATCGAGTTACTTAAATTTATTCAATTAAATTTATTTATCAAATAAAAATTAATCTTGATTTTTATACTCAACTTTAAATTTAATTATTTGTATTTAAACTTAAGTTTGAGTTTGAATTCATATATTATAATAAAAAATTTTTAATTAAAATAATAAAAATATATATTAAAATTTAAAAATTTTGTTAAACTCGCAAACTACTTAAATGTAATATCAAAAAACTCAAAATTAACTCACCGGATAAATTGAACTTAACTTAATAATGGTCAAACTAAACTTGAGTTTTACGTGAGTCGAACGGAATAATTTACTAGCACTGATGTATCGTTTGCAATCCCTAAATATTTATACGGAGAAAGTCAGACATGTATCACCTTAAATATTATTAGTTGTTGGATTTGGAGTTGCGGTTCACTTGTAGCAGCTCATCTCTTACCATGTTCAAAAGTTATTTCTTGTGAACCTGGCAGGGTCACAGAGAACTGGGGCAAGAGTTCTTGAAGAAGCTAAAACCATCAATAAGTCCCTTCCAGCTCCGACTTGCTGTTCATCGGGCAAAGCAAACCATATTCCAAGCTCACTCCAATCTTGCAAGATGCTCTTTTTAGTTCTCTACCTCCTAATTTCATCTCTCTGTATTGTCATCAAAACAGTTTGATGATCGTTGGTTTTCATATAGATTTTGCCAGGGGGAGATTGCTTTGTTGTTGCTCACCAAGTCCTTCAAATGCATCAGAAAGCCTGTCCACTCTTTGTTTTGGTGTAAGGTTCATGAGATATCAAATGCAGAGTAAGAACTGAAATGTGAACCCTTTTCCTTGGTTTCTGATCTCTTAGGTTGTACAACTTTTTGGTATAAGCAATTCTATATCATATTAAATGATTTCCTTCCAGGATAGGTTCTCTGCCTATTTCGTACTAAAATCTCTTGCATGTGTACAAGATAGATGTGCATTTCATACTATCTTGCCGTTGCTCCATTAGTAGTTGAAATTGAATTGCCATGTTAATATGTTATATTGAATTTTTTTTTTGTTGCGATTTGAAGCTGTTAGAATTTCATCTCTGATCACTGAAATTAAGAATCTAATACTCTCTACATATCACATGATTGTTGACAAAAAAAAAAAAGTCGAGTTATCGGTGGTCTCTATAGTGAACAATCTAAAACTTTTTGTATTTATCCTAAGCTTGATTGAGTTTCTGATTTTGGTCTGAGCTATTCTGTGATTGTCATCAAACAAGGAAAGTGTCCAAAGTGATCTTAAAATCCCATTCTTGGAATTCCTGTGATAAGATAAGATCACAACCCGTGAAATGCACAGCTGTTGTAGAAGTAAAACACTGCCAGAGTTTTGTTTTGAGTCAGCCAACCAGGCCTAGCTTTGAAATGTGTGAGGAAAGAAGGCCCACCCCATCCCATATTGGCAAAACTCATGATTTTGCAACTTGTTCTTTTTTTTTTTTTTTTAATTTCTTTTTTGTCCTACCTTGCAATGGGTGATGTTCTTCAAATGGAAGATCTATGGCAAACCCATGTTCTTTATGAGGATGACCCCTCAATTGCCCCAAAGCAACACAAGTTTTGCTGATCAAGAATATTGGAGCTAGAAATACAAGAAAACTAATGGAGTAAGAACGTGGATACAAGTCACAACAAAAGAGTCATCAAGTAAATATGTTAAAAACCACCCGTGGAAGGGAAATTCATCACTTTGCTTACAGAATGGTGCTTATTTCCCTGCCACATCTTTTCCCTGAAACAAACTCAGGATTCCCATAATTTGCACTGAAATTATAGACTTAAACCAGAATAATCACTTTATTTTTTGTTTGTTTAAATCTGTTTAAATCTGTTCACGGGGCTCTTTTAAGATAAAACACTTTTTGTCCTTTGATTGACATAAAAAGACAACAGGGTTACAGGGAGGACAGCAAAACCAGGGCTGAAACTTTGCTTTTTGACCCTCTCCTCTTGGCTTCAAAGCAAACTCTAACCATTGCCCATAAAAGCAATCAAAAGTTTTTCCTCTCATCATTGTAACCTTTTTCTGAGTATTTGCCATGGCCAAAAACACCTCTCTTATCCAAAGTATAACCTTGTTTTCCATCCTTTTCTCTATAGCAAATTCTGTTGAATTCAATTACCCAGCTGTTTTCAACTTTGGTGACTCTAACTCTGACACAGGTGAACTTGTTGCTGCGAAGGGCGATATCCTGGACCCTCCTAATGGTCAGACTTACTTCAAGACTCCATCAGGGAGATTTAGTGATGGTCGGCTTATCATTGATTTCCTAAGTAATGCTATCTCTCTTCTCAACTTCAAACTATTCTATAATTATGCTATATTATGCACTTGCATTTTCATGTACTATTATAATATGGAGGCTGTCTCTTTCTAATGCATTCTTGAGTCTTGACGAAATACCAGGCAATGTCAATTGGTTCAATGGTCATGCGCCCATGAACAATTTCTAAAGAACCCTTCTCAGGTTAAATCTTAAATGATCACTTTTAAGAAGTGGCATCCTGGAGTCCGGATTTCAATCTCAACACATGTAACTTGTATCTCCATACTGTGGCTTACTTTATAACAAATAACTGATTCCCTAATGCTATATACAATCTTGAAAAGTTTGTTGGCTTTATAGGTACAACTATACTATTCATTATATTCTTAACAATAATTGCATTATATTTCCTGGTATGGATTATTTGATACAAGTGAATAAGTGTGGAACATGTTCGAATGGGGCATCCCGATTTCCCAACCCTCTAGTTTACGAGAGAACAAAAAGAAACGCAATTTTTGCTTACCATAACTGAAAGCAAACTTCCACTGGCTGGGACATATGTGATCCACCAAACCAACTATTATTTATAGTTGGCAACCAACATAAAAAAGGTGTAAGCTACAAGCCCTGGTGATCCTGCTGTAAACCATGGCTCCCAAGGCTTGTATTCTCCAAATCTTTGCCTTGGTGTTCATCTTCTTGCCTCTAACCAACTCCATTCACTTCCAATTTCCCGCTATTTTCAATTTTGGTGACTCTAATTCTGATACGGGTGAGCTAGTAGCTACCGGAATTGAGAGCCTTGAGCCACCTCATGGTCAAAGTTACTTCCAAATACCGGCCGGGAGATACTGTGATGGCCGTCTCGTCATTGATTTTCTCAGTTAACTTTCCAACTGTTTTCACAACTTGCGTTGCATTTACAAATTCTGCATATGCAGTTTTGTTCATCATGATTCTGCTTCATCTCTGCATATTTGCATGTTACCCAGCTTCTCTGTTTCTTGTTCTTTCCATATGTTATGGCTATTTTTTTTTCTATCTTTTTCATATGTTCTTTGCTTATTGGGATATGTGTTGTAGTGGATGCAATGGATCTGCCATTTCTAAATGCTTATCTGGATTCAATTGGCACTCCAAGTTTCCGCAAAGGGTGCAATTTTGCAGCTGCAGGATCAACAATACAACCAGCTACTGCACAATCTGTCAGTCCATTTTCTTTTGGAATTCAAGTGGCTCAGTTTGTAAGGTTCAAAGCTCGCGTTCTCGAATTGCTAGCAAAAGGTGCACAAACAGATCATCTTCTAGAGAATGCATATATCTTCATTGGCAATGATGCATTATTTTCATTGACAGCATAAATTATTCTTAAACTAATAGCAGTTAGAAATCTTAATATATATAACAGCATTTTTCATTTAATTGCAGGTAAAAAACTTGAAAAGTACCTTCCAACAGAAGATTATTTTCAGAAGGGACTCTACATGTTCGATATAGGCCAGAACGATCTTGCTGGTGCCTTTTATTCTAAAACTTTTGATCAAATACTTGCCTTAATTCCTTCAGCCTTGACAGAATTTGAAAATGGAATCAAGGTCAGCTTCAAGAACGCTACACTTGTACTTATTACATTAAGACTTCATTCACTTAGTTTTTTTCATCTTCAAGGTTTCCATGTTTTCTCATGCAATTCCTCCATATTGAGAGACACATATTTTTTTATCAGAATGAGCAATTGAGCATGTTAATCACTGAATTCTTTGGTTTTCCTTGTAGATACTATATGATCAAGGAGCTAGGAATTTTTGGATACATAACACAGGACCTCTTGGATGCTTGGCTCAAAATGTAGCCAAATTTGGAACTGATCCATCTAGCCTTGATGAGCTAGGATGTGTCAGCAAGCATAACCAAGCTACTAAAGTCTTCAATCTGCAGCTTCATGCACTTTCTAAAAAATTGCAGGGCCAATATACAGATTCGAATTTTACATATGTTGATATCTACACGATAAAATCTAACCTTATAGCAAATTATTCTAAATTCGGTAAGTATGATGTAGTACTTTTTGTTATGATATAGTAATTTCAGGATAAGCATGGTTGTCATTCTTTAGCCCTACAGGGATTTCAAATAGAATGAATTAAACTAATGCCTTCCCTCTATTGTCATGTTTCATTAAGAGATAAATGAGGGGTACAAGTATGAAATAGAAATGATTTTGAATGCTTATGATTTGCAGGATTTGAGCAGCCTATAATGGCTTGCTGTGGATATGGAGGTCCGCCTTTGAATTATGACAGCCGGATTTCTTGTGGGAAAACAAAAGTCCTGAATGGAACCTCAGTGACAGCCAAAGCATGCGATGATAGTTCTGAATATGTTAATTGGGATGGAATTCATTACTCGGAGGCTGCAAATCAGTATGTTTCATCACAACTACTAACTGGAAAGTACTCTGATCCACCCTTTTCAGACAAAATGCCATTCCTTCTCAATATCAAGTTCTGAAGGCCTAATTTACTCATTGCTGCGACTCTTTTTATTGACTTCTAGCAGTCATTGCAAGTGTTATTCATCAGAACCTACTGTAAATAATTATAATTTGTGACTGGAAGTAAGTTTTCCAGACATTGCACGCTGCCGTTTAATTACTGTATTGACACAAAGGTAAATTATATTGTGTAAAGTGTCCGTATATGCGTGGCATAGGCAGTAAATTGTAGCTACATTCTCAAACTGGAATAATTACTGCTTGATTTGATTTGTGGCCATTTACATTCTAATTATGCCGATTATAGAAGTAGATCATGTGCTATAATACAGCTTTGTGTGGTGCCAAGCAAGCATATAACATTAGATCAAACATTATTCGGTTCTGGTTTTCTGAATAAGAACAAAAAGTCTGTACCATTGCTTGGATTGTAAGTTTCTCATCAACCATCTTTTAACATGACCAATTGTATAACTACGTGTTATGCATGTCTGTTTCCTCATCCAAGGGAAGGGATTTGAAAGACAAATCCTATAGTACAGGTAGCCTTTACTTCTTGGAGACATAAGCATACTATTGAGCCATGGGAACAACAAAAGCAATCACCAACAAACCTCCAACTACAAGGCTGAATTGTCCCCGTTTCTCTTCTGTCTCTTCCCTGGTTTTAAAATTGGACTCCCGCTTATTGTCCTTAAATTTGGGGTCTCCAGGATCGGGAAGTCCATCAATGGCAGCAACTAGCCGTTTGGCGCTGCTGTAAATTGCTTCATTGTACTTCTCTTCCGTAGCCAAAACTGCAATTGAGTGAATAGTATGATAAGTATAACTGCAACAAAAGAAATGAAAGGAAAAGAAAGATTGTTCCAGCATATGAAACTTCTGCTATTTTCTCTTCTTCTGGTTGTTTGATCTCTTACTGTAAGATATGCCATTGATGGTTTTGCAGCAAGAACTTACGATTCATTCCTTGAAACCTCTCCCCGATAACCTTTGATTTCTTATGTTTCTTAAGTTTTCAAGGTCCTTATTAGGGTCATTGTTTCTACTAAAACTTTATTTGCAGGTTGCGAATAACCATCATATTCAACATTTCCAAGTACAGGACTAAAGAATATATGAAGGTTTTCAACTTCAGTTTCAGTCACAAGAAAATAAAAGAATACTTACCAGGAAGGTTCTCAGTTACAGTAGCATCAAGAATATTTTCTCCGACAGCTTCGACAAATGCAGGTCCACCTGTAACTGCCCCTTCTTTTTGGCTTGTAACAAGCACAACAATACCTCTATTACTACCCTCTTCAAGCGTGGGATACCAACGCTCCAAAACTTGGTCAGCATACTCAAAGGCATCAGCTTTGCTCTGCAGTCAAATTTTATCTATCTTCAGTATCAAGAATAGAAAAAACCCAGGTTGAGTTTTTTCTTCAATTTTCTTCTTCAACCATAATTCTCAAACTTGGCATCTGTTTCACAAGTGAAAACCAATCCTAAACTTTCACTATATTGCGCCTAAAGCAATAATCACAACAATACAAAAGCAATAGACAATAATCAATAATCAAATACGCAGGAAAAATAAAGCACACAAAGATTTATGTGAAAAACCCTCCAGTGTAGAAAAAAAAAATCACGGGCCACCAGAAAAATCTTCACTATCAAATAATAGTTATACAAAGTTCTTCTCTAGCTAAAACTAGAGCTAATCAACAACTAGAGAAACAATTGGAGAAATCTCACCAAATAAGTGACTCAACAAATACACCATGAATTTGTTCCTAGATAGCTTCAAACCCGATCTTCACCATTCAGAATGTAGAACTCTGAATCATAAACCTCCTGACAAGGTTCCAACTCAATCGGACCACGGATCGATTTCCGTTCAACCAACTCTCCCTTCTCTTTTTTCTCTCTTTGCTTTTCCTGGCTTTTCTTCTTTCTCTGCTTGGTTTTCGACACACACCTAAAACAACCCCATCTCTTTTTTTATTAAGTAGCTAGGGCTCTGTGTAAAATAAAAAGATCAAGGCTCATGGCTTTTACTTGGTCCAAAACCATTTACATGGGATTGGACCCCATTTTCTTAACAATCTCCCCCTCCAGCCCCATTAGGAGGAGATTCATCACCATAGCAGTTTCATTTGAAACTTACCTTGGCCAGGGAACTCATTCCGGCCAAGTTACTGCAAAGCTCAAGCTTTTCCCTGGAAAGTATCTTAGTCAACATATCTGCTACATTCTTATCAATATAGACTTTCTTCAATAACATCTGCTGTTCTTCAATCACTAAACGTAACCAATGATATCTAACATCAATGTGCTTTGTTCTAGCATGGTACATGGTATTCTTACTCAAATCTAAAGCACTCTGGTTATTACAAAATATCACATACTCTTTTTGATTCAACCCCAATTCAAGAAGAAAACGTTTCATCCAAAGCATTTCTTTACATGCTTCAGTTGCTGCAATATACTCAACCTCTGTAGTTGACAAAGCAACACACTTCTGCAACTTAGATTGCCAAGATACAGCTCATCCTGCAAAAGTGAACAAATACCCTGAAGTAGATTTTCTACCATCAAGATCGCTTGCCATGTCAGCATCAGTAAACCCTTCTAGAACTGGTTGTGAAACTTCATAAGTCAAGCACATTTTTTAGGTACCCCTCAAATATCTAAAAATTCATTTCATTGCTTTCCAGTGAACCTTCCCTGGATTAGAAAGAAATCTGCTCACTACACCAACTGCATGAGCAATGTCAGGCCTTGTACAAACCATAAGATACATTAAAGAACCGACTGCAGAAGAATAAGGAATACTAGACATAGCTAGTTGCTTTTCCTTAGACACTGGACAAGATTTCTTACTTAGATGAAAATGGTTGGCAAGTGAACTGCTAACTGATTTAGCATGTTGCATGTTGAATCTACCAAGCACTCGTTCAACATACTTTTCCTGTGACAATCATAGCTTTCTAGCTCTCCTATCTCGGATAATGTCCATACCAAGAATCTGTTTTGCTAGACCTAAATCCTTCATATCAAAGGACTTAGACAATTATTCTTTCAACCTGCAAACCATACTAGCATCTTGTCCTACAATCAACATATCATCAACATATAATAATAGGATAATGAAGTTACCATTAGAAAATTGTTTAATATACACAAAAAAATCCACTACTGTTCTTTTATAGCTATGACTCATCATAAAAGAATCAAACTTCTTGTACTACTGTCGCGGAGCTTGTTTCAAGCCATACAAGCTTTTCTTCAATTTGCAAACTAAGTGCTCTTTCCCTTTCACTTCAAAACCCTCAGGCTGATTCATATAAATGTCCTCCTGTAAATCACCATGCAAAAATACAGTTTTAACATCAAGTTACTCAAGTTCAAGATTCAAACTAGCTTTCAATCCCAATACCACTCAAATAGAACTCATTTTTACAACTAGAGCAAAAATCTCATCAAAATCGATGCCTGGTTTCTGAGAAAAACTTTTTATTACCAATCGAGCTTTATACCTCACTAGTTTGTCACCATCCTTTTTTAACTTGAACACCCATTTATTTTTTAATGGCCTCTTTCCTGTTGAAAGTTTAACAAGATCATAAGTATAATTCTTTCGCAATGACTCCATCTCTTCTTTCATTGCTTTTAACCAGTGCTCTCTATCCGAAGTAGCCTACATATCTTGAAATTTTTCTGGCACCCCTTCACTGGTAACTAAAATAAAATCTGAACTTGGATACCTGATAGATGGCATGCGCTCTCTAATAGATCTCTTGAGCTGAGACTCTACATCACTTGATATCGAAGGTAGCTCCTTCTGCTCAACACTCTCAGGTAGAGAGGTTGATCTCCCTGCTCAAAACTAATAGCATCTGGCTCATCACCAACTGTGACTGACTCATTCATATCCCCAAGTTCTGTTTCTTACTCATTTTCACCATCTATGGCTCTTTCCTGTGGAATCCCTGTCGGTGTTGAAACATCACACTCAACAGTAACTCGTGTAGTCTTCTCATTTTTTTCAAGGTCTGTTATGGTTTTTTTCATGAAAGACCACATCTCTACTTCTGACTGTCTTTCTCTTTACTGGATCCCATACCCTGTAATCAAATTTTTCATCACCATATCCTACAAACACACATTATGTGGCTTTAATGTCAAGCTTTGATCTCTGCTCTTTCGACACATGCATGAATGCTTTACACCCAAAAACTTTTAAATGAGAGTATGAAGTATCTTTTTCTGTCCACACTCTTTCTGAAATGTCAAAGCCCAAAGGAACTGATGGTGACTTGTTAAGTAAATAACAAGTTGTGTTGACTGCTTCACCCCATAATAGCTTTGGTAATTTTGCCATCCTCAACATACATTTAACTTTTTCCACAATGGTGCGATTAATTCTTTCAGCTATACCATTATGCTGCGGTGTTCCAGGTTCTGTCCTTTCATGCCTGATCTCATGCTTTGAGCAATACTCCTCAAAGCCTTTATATGTATATTCCCTACCATTATCAATTCGAATACACTTCAAGGGTAACCCTATCATCCTTTCAATCATGATATGAAATTTTTAAAAATATTGCAGTACCTGACTTTTGTATTTCAACATATACACTCAAGTCTTACGTGAAACATCATCAATAAAAGTAACAAAATATCTGCTACTACCTAATGACTCAACTTCAATGGGACCACATACGTCAAAATAAATTAATTCTAATTTATTTTCTTTTCTCTGAGAACTTTTACGAAAAGAAACTCTATGATGCTTACCAAACAAACAATAATCACATAAATCGAGAGACATACCTTTGATCAAGGGAATGAGAGACTATATTGCCAAAACTCGTAACCTTCTTTCACTCATGTGTGCCAGCCTCCTGTGCCATAAATTTGCTGAAGCATCATTTTCACGGTATTTACCTGGTTACCATTCAATTGCATCCATGTCTTATACATTGTGCAGCATAGTTTTCCCTTTGCAACTATCATAGATCTTTTGAGAAGCTTCCACTGTCCATTCTTTTATCGACTTTCATATCCCTCCTTATCAAGGACATTAATAGCAAGTAAGTTCATTCTCATATCTGGAATGTGTCTGACATCCTTCAAAGTCAACATGTAGTTGGTACTAGTTTGTATAATAATATCACCAATCTCAACAATCTACGACACACTCTTGTTTTTCATCTTGGTACAACCAAAGTCTCATGCTTTGTAAGTTGTAAACAACTTTCTTTTAGGAATACAATGATATGCCGCTCCTATGTCAATTATCCACTCAATATCGGGATCACTAACATGATTACAATCACCATGTGTATAAATCAAAGTAACTGAATCATTATCTGAATTCACTGCTGCAAATTGCCATCATCTGAACTCTTGCCTTTCTCATCTTTTCGCTCTTGCTTCAGGATTTTACAATTTCGTTTTATATGACCTGCCTTACCACAATAAAAACACTTCACTTTACCTCTAGACTTGGATCTATGTTTAGACTTACCATGACTTTTTGGGTCCTGACCTCTATCGATGTTTTTACCCCTGTTCTCTGTAACCAGAGCTTGATTCTCAAGGTCTACATATTTTCGCCTTGCTTCTTCATTAAGCATACTGTCCTTTGCCATCTCCAATGTCATCTTATAATCAGGAGCTAAATTAAGAACAGTCACAACTAGAGTATTTCAGCTGTCTGGCAATGAACCCAAAAGAAATAATGCCTTCATTTCATCATCCATTTTAAGCTCCATAATAGTCATCCGATTAAATATATCTTAAAAATCACTCAAGTGCTCTGTAACAGATCGTCCATTCCTGTACTGTAAAGTTGCAAGCTTTTTAACAAGCATAACTTTATTCATATCTATTTTTCTCTCATACAATGCTGTCAATTTTTCTCAAACAATGTGAGCATCTGACTCCTATGCTACATGATGGAACACGCTAATATCAATCCATTTTCTGATTGTAGCCAACGTCTTTCTACCTAGCTTCTTCCAGCTTTCATCTTTCATATCTGCTGGTTTAGTCAAATCACCCAATACTGGCTCATACAAATCTTTGCAGTATAGATGATCCTTCATCATAGGCTTCCAAATTGAATAATTCGATGCTGTCAATTTTATCATGAAACTTGTATCACCCTCCATGATCCCAAACAGAATTTACTTCTATCTTGGATTGCTTCTGTATCGATGTCTCAAAATAACCCTCGCTCTGATACCACTTGTTGCGCCTGAAGCAATAATCACAACAATACAGAAGTAATAAACAACAATCAATAATCAAATATGTAGGAAAAATAAAGCACACTAAGATTTATGTGGAAAACCCTCCAGTGTAGAGGAAAAAAAAATCACGGGCCACCAGAAAAATCTTCACTATCAAATAATAGTTATACAAAGTTCTTCTCTAGCTAAAACTAGAACTAATCAACAACTAGAGAAACAATTGGAGAAATCTCATCAAATAAGTGACTCAACAAATACACCCTGAATTTGTTCCTAAAGAGCTTCAAACCCGATCTTCATCGTTTAGAATGTAGAACTCTGAATCATAAACCTCCTGACAAGGTTCCAACTCAATCGACCACGGATCGATTTTCATTCAACCAACTCTTCCTTCTTTTTTTCTCTCTCTACTTTTCCTGGCTTTTCTTCTTTCTCTGCTTGATTTTCGACACACACATAAAACAATCCCACCTCTTTTTTTATTAAGTAGCTAGGGCTCTGTGTAAAATAAAAGATCAAAGCCCATGGCCTTTACTTGGTCTAAAATCACTTACATGGGACTGGAGCCCATTTTCCTATCACACTGTTCACTGAGAAACTTAAAGCAAAAGAAAAGGAATTAATGGCATTATGACCTCAGCTATATTCTGTATTATGGTTCCCGGTAACAACCATGTCACATTGATTAATCAGCTTCTCTACAAACTCAGATATAATGATGCTAAACATCCAAAACTGCATAGAATTTTCATTTGATCATCACCGTTTTACTTGGTTTTCCAGTGACCCAACAGACAGTTAATGACTAAAGTTTCTATTATTTCTTCTCATTCCAGATTCCTAAAATTCAGCAAAAGGGTATCTCATAGAAGTGATAAACTCACAATTATGCAAGTAAACAAGTTAATTCATGAAAACAGGATCTTACGGTGAGCTTTCTAACAGTAATAAAGTTAATGTGGAAGTTCTTCCTTGACTCCACATCAGATAAAAGCTGTTTCAAATCAGATTTTGTCACTCTACTAAGCACATTAGCATCATCAACTACATAAGAATCCTTTGGTGGCCCCTCATTAATTACATCAAACTCTGATGCCAATGCATTGCCAGTGTACAAGACAGGAGAAATATTGAGTGCCAAAGAGATAGCTAGAGCTGCTAGCCCTTGCTGTGCATGAACAAACCAGTTTTTTGGTTCTGCCAAAGATGGTTTTAGTGACTGAGAAGTGTGTTTCTTGACGCTACAGGTAAAGGGTTTTGAGAGAAAGAGAGAAGCTGATCTTGGTTGAAGTGAAGGCGACAAAAGGTTCTTAAAAGCGTATGCTTTTGGATTCAAGATTGGAGAAAGAGAGTGAGAAGAGAAAATAGTTTCCATGTTAACTGTTCACCGGCTGGTGGATAGGAGAGAAATGAAAATTTTTGGAAAGAAACAAAAGAGAGAGAGGAAAAATTTTTTCATTGCCGTTTCCATATGCTTCTGATTTCTGTTGAGTTGAGAATGTTTGAGTGGTCAGGATTTTGTCTTGTTTTGTATTGGTTGGCCATATTTTTTCAGGAGGATAAAGTCACTCAGCCATGTACATGAACAAGGGTGTCTTGGTCTATTCATGGTTTGTCAGAACTAATCCCAAAGAGCTTATCTGAGGCATATATCATTTTCAATCATGAAAAATGACCACAATGCCCTCCTGTAAGTTTTAAAACATGGACGAGACTGTTTATCCTTAATACTACTTCATTTCGCCTCATTTTTTTGGCCCTGCAAAACCCAGTTCCAGAATCTTTAGCTGAAGCTTCTACACCTTCCAAGCCGGCTTTGAACATTGCAAACACCAAATCTTGGTTCCAGTTCTATGGTGATGGTTTTGCCATCAGTGTTCAAGAAAAGAAGTGGGGTCAAGGTCAGTCAATTTCTGATGAAAATGTTTTTGAAAAGAAAAAAACGTTGTTCAGTAAAACAGAAGTCCTCTGGCTATTACCTAACTTTCTTTCATAAAAACTGTTATAATTTGATTGAATTTGTAATGTGTAATCATAAATTGCAATAGAAATCCACTGCCATAAAGAAGCATACAAGAGAAGGGGTGCATCAGTTTTCCTGACACATTAATGATCAGAATACATTAGATGAAATGACTTCCCTAGAATTTCATTCATACCAGAGAAGGTGATGAATATCCCACCAGCCAAACAATCACAGAAAAGTAAGTTGAGCTCTTGAAGAGTTAGAACATTGGAAGCAGCCCACATTAGGCACAACTCCTCCACCACCAGCACCACCACTTCGACTTCTGCTACTATCTTCATTCCTGAAAACAATGTTGTCATCAAGTCTTTGTCTAAAAAGAAAAGATTCAGTTAATGCTGCCCTGCTGATTAGTCATAGATAGTTAGCTTGAAGGACAGAATATATGCGAATATTAACATGAGAACATAAAGAGGACCTTGAACTTCACATGAAGGTAGTTGGCTCCCCTCACTTATAGCAAACCATGAAATTTTTCACTGATAGCTTTGGATTAAGATTAAAATTAACAAAAATTAAGTTATAAGTACATGTAATTTCATAAGAAATTAATAGTAGACTAGTAGTTGGTTACTGTCCATAGGGTAACAAGTTGCATGGTGCTATTTTTTTTTTTTTTGATAACAAGTTGCATAGTGCTCTTGATTATGCAGAATGTAGTCCACAGCTAAACATATTCATTGGCAGGCTATCTATCTAAGCCCAAAAGTCCGTCTAAGTTTAGAGAGTGTTTAGACAAAAAATTAAAATATATTAAATAGATTTAGACATAATTTATAAATTCATTTAAATTTTAAATCGAGTTTTAAACAAACGATTAAAATCTTAAGTTGGGTTTGACTTAACCCAAATTTGCATATATATATAAATTATTTATTTATATATATATGAATTATTTATTCATATATATAAATTAAAAATAAAAATTATATATATTTTATTAAACTTAATTTTTATTTTTAATTTATATATATATAAATTAAATATAATCTCATTAAACTTAATTTAATCATATTTTTTATTTTTTATTATATAAATTAAATTTAATGTGTGAGTTTGATATTTTTTTTTTTAATTTAGATCGGGTTTGAAAAAATTTTAAAACTTAAAATTTTTGGATCAAGTCATTTGAGTAAGCATATAAGCTTTTAATACTAAGTATGAGTCTGGCTTAAACTTGGCCTATCCCAGCTCATAAATACTGTTACAACTCAATTGTATCATATGTTCTTCACTTCTGTTTTTTTTTTTTTTTTTAAATAATCAAGAAAAGAATTACAAAATTCGAAAGTTAGAATCTTAAGCATGTCATATGTCACTTTTTAATGGTAATAGCATGAATCAATTAGAATAAATCTCAAATATGTTTTTTTTGTTTTATATAATTGTCTCATCAAACTGAAAATATAGATGACATGAACCTACTTTAAATATCTAACGTATTAATGTAGGGTCTAAATTCATCAGTTCCACAAAATCTTTGCTTGTTAAAAGGCAATCAATTGCTAATAAAAATGGCTCCACCTTGAAAATGTGGTATGAGTAAAGCACACTCATTTTTATTTTCTGTTCTTGTTTAATCCATTTCACATTTTCAATCCATGATTTTAATGATGTAACATTTGATGAGATACATGGAATCAAAAGAAATGAATAAACAATGCTGGTAAATAATAACTCATTATTAGAATTGCAGAAGCATACAGGGGATCCTGACTCATTATTAGAATACATTATGTGCAATTACTTAGTAAAATTTCCCTCATTGCAGAGAATGAGTTACTGATTCCTGTATTTCTTCCAGCTTTTTCCCTTTAGTTTCTGGTATAAATTTTGCGACCAGGATGTAATTTGCAGCACAAAAGGCTGAAAATATGAAGAACACCCCTGAAAGAGTGCCCAAAAAATTATCATTTCTGAGGTCAAGAGCTTGAAAACTGTGGATGATTAGTGAAGGAGAGGGCATCACCTGCTGAGCTCCATTGAATTAGGAAGTTGAAGTAGTATGAAATAACCCAAGCAAAAACATTGTTGATCAAATTACAGATGCTTCCAGCTGAACCCTTCACATTTACAGGAAACACCTGTCACAGACAGAATCCCAGTATGGATTGTTAACTCTTTTTCAGATCAAATTTTGCAAAAACAGATGAATGAATAAGCAAAGGAAGGCGACAACAGTTTCGCAGACCTCTGCTATCAAAAGCCATGGTATTCCTGCGCCTAACACACTTGATCCCATATACATCTGAAAACAGAAACAACAAAAATAAATAAAAATTGAAAAAGAAGACAAAGGTTTTCACTCTGAACAAAAATGTATTACCAGTAAGCCAATGAGTGCCAAAATGGGAGTACCATCATCCCACCAGTTAAAGTCCTGCTTATCCAAGTGAGATTCCAGGTTATCATTTTAATGAACAAACAACATCAAGGAGGCTATGAAATGTAAGCTTTTCAAAACCTTTAAGAAGAATGACAATCCTGTGAGGAAGCTGCCAAAGCATAATCCAGCAAAAGAAACCTGCAAACAGATTCCAATATTGGCTCATTGTTCAACCAAGCAATACCTTTCAAACCATTAGAAAATCGAAGAACATCTTCTAACCAGTAGAAGTGGCCGTCTTCCAGCTTTATCAAGTAACATCACACCCAAAAGGCCTAGTAATGTCTGCAAAAAAAAAAAAAAGAGCGAGAGAGAGAAGCTTTTTATTTTCCGACATACTATACCATAAAAAATATGGTTTTGAATTCACATAACAGTGCAAACAACCTGAACAGCAGCCAGTGTAATGAGTCCAATCAAGCTTGATATACCTGTTATAGATAGGAGTTTCATTAGATAAATTTTCTTGGGGTTTCCTTAAAGTTGTATAAAGAGAATCATGGCCTGTAATTTACCAGCAGATTGAATTATAGCACCAGAATAAAATGCAAATGCACCAATCCCTCCCAAACTCTGCAGTGCCATTAGTCCAGCCATTATCTATATCAAATGTGATAGAATTGAATTAATCATATATATATATATATATATATATAAACAGAATTGAATTAATCATTTATATATATAAACAGAAATTAATAAACTTTCAACCAAGTTACAAGGCTTACAAGCAAGGGACGAGCATATGTCCTCTGAAATACATCTAAAGTGCTACCTTTTGACACACTTCGAAGAGATTCAGTGTAATCCTGAAAATTAATTAAGGTTTAATTTAAATACATTAAAAGAAAAAGAAGCAAAAAGAGGGTTAAACTAAAAATCTTTGCTTTATTTTTTAATAAATAAAAGTTGAAAGTTACTTTGATTTCAGTTGCTTCTTCAGAAATATCAACTTTCTCTCCTCTGAGGCACAATAGGACATCTTCGACCTCTTTTTCTCGACCAACTTTTGCCTGCAGAGAAACTTTTTTCATTAACTGCAGGACAATGGCTGTTTCTTTTCTTGAATATTAGTAGACAAAGGTTCAAGAATCTCAAAAGTTGGATCACCAGCCATCGAGGAGATTCTGGAACGAAGTAGAGGAGTGGAAGTTGCAGTAGACCAGGAATAGTTGCTGTGTGTAAAATCATTCAACATTGTTACAACCCCTAGATAGCATAATTTCCTATGCATGGAAAGACATAGAAGTTATACCTATTAGAGCCAAGGTGCGCCAATTGACAAAGGAACCAACCAGATATATGAATGACAAGCCCCAACAGACCATCAACTGCAAAACAAGTAGGATTCAGAAATGTGAGGTAAAATAAAGTGCATTCTAATCTAAGTTTACCGGTACTATGGCGGAAATTCTTCCCCTGAGATCCTTGGGTGTTATTTCTGCAATGTATAGTGGCATCTGTTTGAGATTGAAACGTAAATAATGTTATCCATCTCCAGACATCCAAAACATCAAATGGCTAAAGCTGCATCAAATTTGCATTGGGAACTTAAGAAATGTTACCAAAAAACCAGTTATCCCGCTTACAGATCCCAATGACAGTCTTCCAAGGTCCAGCAACCAAGGAACCTTTTCATAACACAAGGCAATTAACTTTTATTAACTGAAAGAAAAGAAATGAAAATTCAACCATAGCTAGTTAGACTATCGAAAATCTTCTTTAATATCTTTCATGATCATATAAATTAAGCTGTCTTACTCCTAGTTTCCTGATCATATAAATTGCTTAGTAATTAAGTCTAGCATATGTCATACAGAAAAGTTAGCGAAAGAGTTGAAACCTTAGCGAATGCTATGGCAAACCAGCCACCAATGTAGAGTACATTCAAAATCCACATAGTCTGACATAAAAAAAAATGGTATTAGTCAAAATTTGCAATTGCAACAAAACAGTTGGTTTCAGAATTTTTGCTTAGTCATGACAAATAACAAAAGCTTACCCCTTTACGACCAAGGAGATCTGTTACCTTCCCACCTATTGCTGCACCTAGCATTGCTCCAACTGTTAGTGTTGAACCAAAAAGGGAAAACTGCAAAGCAAAGAGTTTTTACTGCAAATTCAAAAGGACTGTCAAATAAAATTAAATTCTTTCACATGGTAGAGCATTCCATGTTACCTCTTTTAGAGAAAGATCCATGTCTTCCATAATTCCAGACTGCGTAGGTGAAGAATAACCCATCTGCAAAACAATCACATGAAACTAAGTTGAGCCCTTCAAAAAGTTAGGAGATCCAGTCTTTTCACTTGTCATAAAAAATGCAGTTTACAAGATTTCCCAAACCAAATGCCATGCAAGCTGTCACAAAGGCACTGAGAACAAGAGTGGTGGTGACTTCTGAAGCTGCAGCAGTCAGAGCACCATTATTTTCATTGCTTAAAAATGATCTGAGAAGCAAGGTTTCAGTTACTGCCCTTCTTTGCTCCGCCATAGATTGTTCGTCGGTCAGCTTGGAAGTTAAACCATGTAAATGATCGGATGGCATCTCGTTTCAAGCATCTTTAACTGCTTGTAAGAATTTTCAGGTCCACTTAATGATAGTGGTCGGTCTTGCATTAATTAAATATTAGTAAATAAAATATTATTTTATTTAAATTTTAGTAAATAAAATATTATTTATTTTAATTTAAAGTTTAATTAAATATCTAATTAATTAAGTTTATTCAAAAATATATATAATTAAATTTGTACAAAAATAGATAGATAAATCTATTCAAATCAAATGATCGTTCAAAAACAAATAATTTTTATTTATTCAAAATAAATAATTATATTTTTAAGATAAAAACACACTTAATTATTTATATAAATTTTTTATCTTTTTAAAAAATATATAAAAATAATTCTCGAAACTCTCTCTCATTATACTTCATTTTTTTTTGTAAAATTTTGTTGCAAAAAAATTATAAAAATTTGATGATCTTATAATATATAGTAAATATTTAATAGATTAATTTTATTAATATAAAACACAATCAACTACTCGATTTCATTGTATCCTCATTTATCGTTTTGTAATTTTTTTTACATTTATTAAGACGAATAAAATTTTAAAAAAATAATATTTATATGCTTTAAAATCTTATTTTAAAATTTTAAATTTATCAAAAATAAAAATTTCAGATTTTCATTTCACTAAAGATTAAAATTAAACCATGTAATCTGTAGATATATGAAGTTTTAGGTAAATTATATAAAGTTTATAAAATAATCACGAGTTAAACCTAAAATTTAATTCAATTATTTCGTATTAATATCTAATAAATTTAAATTTTAAACCGTAATTTTTACAAACCCTTTTATTCTCAGATCACGACATAAAATAATAGTAGTGGATTAGGGTGACCAAGATTGACTCAAGATATTTCTCTGACCTAGACTGATAATTGGCCGCGACTGATACAGGAAATCATTCATTCTCTGGACCACCGGAAAGAAGATAAGTGATTATACAGTATCCTTTCAATAATGGGACAACAGGTTTTTGGAGAAAAAAAAAAATTTGGACCAGCTAGTACCTTTCAGGAAATATATCACAAGGGCTTACGCAAGGGATGACAAACAAATTCATGCTGCGCTTGAATTGCTCCAACTCTCAACGGATATTTCTCTTATTTAAAACATTTTCAACCTTTCATTATTGTCGAATTATTAAAAATAAAAATAATAAATCACGAATTCCTACAAAATCAAATTAAAAGTGACTAATCAAATTGACGCGATTTGAAAAAATTAATAATTAATTAATTAATTTTTATTTAATAAATAATCGAATTGATTAAAAATTTTAAAATAATTGATTATAATCAAATTGATCAAAATCAACTTAATTCAATCGATTCGATTAAATAAAATAACTTTTCATCATATTTTTTATCTATTAATAATAATTATTTAATTATAAATTTAATTTAATAAAATTTAAACTCAAATATTATTTAAATTAAATCACTAAAAAATTTAATAATTTTAACAATATTTTATAAAAATAAAATAAAAATACTTATATCAATTTTTTTATTATTATTTATTAAAAAATTAATTAATTCGATCAATTCGATTATTAATTTTAAGAATCATAAACCGATCAAATTAACTAATTTAATCAATAAAAAAAAATTATAATCAAAACCAAATAAATCAATTTGAATCAATCGAATTTACTCGATTTCGATCGATCTAATCGATTCAAATCAATTTTTGCTCACCCCTAACTTTAGCTAGCCTCCTATACCGAAAAAATAATAATTCCCATGCCTATCTCTAATGATTCTCAATATTTTACTTTAAAAAACAGAATAACATATCAGCCATTGCTGAAACAATCACATAAAAAGTTTCACATTTTTATCTCACAATAAACGTTTTATAGAGTTAAATTTAAATCTCATATCATATTCATATATTCTTTTTCACCGTGAAATTGAAACCGTCACAATATCCTATCTCAGTCCTACAGTGACTGTGCACTGAATCCCTTACTACAAGCGAAAACAATTCCTACAGCTCCCCCAGCAACTTTGGATGACAAGGTTACAAAACTCATTAAAATACCTGTATATGCAGCTTCGGAAGAGCAGACATTTTTTACGGTGCAACTCATCAACAAATAAAAACCACATGCTGTGGCAAAATACATTGTTAAACTCCAAATTTCTCGTTAACTGTACAAAACCATTGGCTAATTCTTTCCAAGAAAATCAGTTAGGTTCTAGACCTATTTGCTGCAGCAAGTTCTACCGTGACAATGAAAGCTGACCTGCCTGCTTCCCTTAAATACTGGATATCTCCATTCATGAGTTTTAGCAACTTTCGGCCGATGAGCAAACTGATACCCTCCTCTGATGCGTCTCCATCACTTTCAAACATTTGGTTCAGCAATGATTCGGGTGCTCCGCCACCAGCATGTATTATTCTGACCCAAAATATATACAAAAGCCTTTTACTTTTGGTTTACTTCATAAGGAAGAGTTCACTTGTGCCTAAAACTAAGGCATATATACCAGCTCCATATACTTACTACTGATGAATCAATCTAAAAGGGAAACAAGATTCTTAAATTGGTGTGCAGGCACATTCTTCTCTTTTTTGATGTATATTTATGACGTATGCCAAGTATCAGTATGAATGCATATTAATGAAAAGAATGTAGTACCTGAGCTCCAAATGTGCAAGATGAACAGACTGTCCTAGTTGATCTTTGGTCAAGCTAGCTACAACAAGAAGTTGGCCTCCATCTGGAGTAAAATTAACTGATATCAACAAGAAATCAGCTAAGACTTGTTGCAGTCTAACACTATCTCCATACAAGGTCTCAGTCATGACCTCTTCTGCTGTATCATTGACTATTCGGATACCTTTCCCATTGCTCTTCATCATCACTTGACTAATAGAAGCAACCAATACTTCATGCAGGGTGAATTCAACCATTTCAAGATCCAAGTAGCTGTAAAGAATTTAGAAAACAGAAAGAAGAGAAGTGTTAAAGCACTAAAATACAGATATCACAACCAAAAGTATTGAGGGGTATTGGGGTACACAACCAAGATTTATATAAATGGAGAGGGTTCTAAAGAGCGTAGGAAATTCCAATACAGTTTTCAATTCTGGCTGAGAGCAAGATGAGAGAAACAATAGCTCAGAAGTGAAACGAAAGTGATGTCATTATGCTAGAAGGAATCATTGTTCTCTAGGGAAAAAAGGGAAAAGATGTAGAGAAATTCTGCATTAAGAAAGAACAAGTCTAGAATATTAGAAAAGCAGTAGCGAAGTTTGGATTACCAAATGGATTATGAGACTATATGCATGGGCTTAGAACCCCTAAAGAGACAAAGCAGAATTAATTCCAGAAGCAAAAAAAATCTAGCCTAATAAAATGCATGGTTTAAGTTAATAGTTTTATATAAAGCTTTTTGACACAGGATCTTATCTCTGGCTTCTAGAGTAAGATAATGTTTCAAAAGTGCATGCTGCCGCTGTTTATCGCTGATTAAAAAAATAAAGGTAATTTTTTGCAGGATGTTTCCATGCGCATCAATGATGCTATGAAGGTCAGAATCATCAAGTATCTTGCTCAGCTGGCGCTGGCACAGGGTACTAGTCTACAGAAGGCGTTTTTGTTCTGATCCCAACTCTGTGCCCTCCATCATTTTCCTAGAAAAAATAATACCAGAGAGAGGATTACGGATCTGCCTTTTCAGATAAGCTAATGCTTTCAATCTCTTCATGGCAGTTCGCTCTGACAATCGCTGGATATGAAGTGCTTGTTGCAGCTCATGGCTTGGAAGCTGCAAGAAACAAAAGACCCCAGAGACAGTACCGTCTCTGTCCAATTTCTTATTCTCGCATAACAAGCATTCCACATACTTTCCACTGCGAGCAAAGAAACCAAAAGGAACGTTTTCAGGCTCATGCCCAGTCATTGCATTATTAAGTACAACACGAAGATTGTCAAAAGATTCTTGATTCTTGAGACGGTAGAATGCAATGTGGGTCCCAAAAACCTCCCCCAACAGCATTTTATCTACCACTTCATCTCGCTTCCACCCAGTTAACTTTGTCATTGCTGGATTCCACTCAGAGCACCAGCCAAGTTCATCCATACCAAATATTGGAGGAATCAGCGGGCTTGGATTATGTACAATTGCTTTGTAATCACCTTCGATCCGGGTGAACTTGTCCATGACAATCTTCTGACCAGTTATATCTTGCGCCACAAAACAAACCCCCACAACATTTTCACGGTGATCCCTGTTTGCACAAGCATTGACAACTAAACTTATGGGGCCAGCCTCAGTCCTCGACCCATGAGTTTTGATCTCAAATTGGATGTTATTTTCTTCTTTGCCTGATCAGCATTTGGCATTAATATTAGTGCAATAACATGCTGTAGCACTCATGTACATGAAGATAAGAAGAAATGGAATATGACATACCCTGCAAAGCCAAGATTAACATTTTCTTAACTGTTTCAACTGAAGAATCTTCAACAAGTGTGAGTAAATGCTTTCCAATGCAGACCGGTCAACTCGGCAATTTTCATATTCCACCCATTAACCAGGCCATCAGCATCAACTGCCAAAATTGGAACTGTAGCTGTTTCAATTAGACGAACCATCCCGCTTGTCACTGCCTCCAGCTCTTGCATCCCTTCTATTTTGAGGTCACTCAGCTTGGAATGTATGGCATTGGTGTTAGTATCTGTGGGCTCAATATCTTTGAACGCATTCCTTAGAATAAGCTGTAAAGAATGGATTGCATCCATTTCATAGTCTTTCCATGGCAAACTCCCTGTCTTGACAACTTCAAGGAAAGCCTTGAATGATGACCTTGGGTGCATCTTCCTATCATCATCCTTCTCACCAGGTTCATGCTTTGCACCACCCCATCGAATTTCTGCAGCAGTATGAGACCGGAACCAGAAAAGCATGTCCTTGGGGTTTATCCTCACAGTTGCCATTCCACATACTACATCACCAAGATCCAAGGCCCCAGGGAACCCAGCACCATACAAGCTCT